ATTCCAACTTTTGCTTACTGCTCTGCAAGATCAATGAAAAAACTGGGGAAATCGACCGTGCAAAACAATTGTAAGGTGCTGTTCCAAAAAAGAAATTGTATCTCGGGCACGTGTGGAAAGAGTGAAGAGGAACAATTGAGCTGCGACTTCCTGAATGTAATATTCAAGTGTGCGCAACCGAGACCAGCGCCCCCGGGAAGATGGCATCATCAAGCTGCAGTTGATGGAATAAACAAAAAATAAAACGAGTCAAAGATTCGTCGTCAACTCTGACATGTTGGCGCCGAGCAAAGCGGGCTGTTTTTGGGTTGCGTACGAACACGTACAAGGAGGTGGAGTCTGTCATCAGAGCGTCTTGCGGAAACACAAGGTCTCTGCGGCGGAGTGCAAGAAATTCATTGGGATGAAGCATCCCGCCAAAGCCTAATGCCACAGCTCCTGCGAACTTGTCCCACCTCCATAACAATGCAAGACAAAGAATAGCCCGAAATACAGGCGCGCTCAAAACTGCCCGACACTGCCCAGGTTCTTCGATCTGCCATTTATGATCTACCTGCCAGGCTCCTGAGAGCAATCTACGAAATTCCGGCTTCACTTGTTGAACTGCCGTAATGGCGTACACCAACAAATAACGAGGTTTACCCTCCCGGAACAACGATAGGCCGTAGCCCCGCAGCGCAAGATTGGTCGTGTCTGCTTGTTTCAGGACCTCCTCAAGAGACATGCCAGCAACGGTGGAACACCATGCACCAAACAGCTCAAGACAACGCCTCATGCGCAAAGAGGTCGCTTGTGCAAACCCGCCCATCAAATCCAGCTCCCCTCGAGGGGTGAAGTTCTTTTGCGCAGAAGGCACGGGACCTGGGTGTCTCTCAACGTCACCTGCAATCAAAAGCAGCAACCTGATCCATCGGCCTATCGGACGAGTCCAGCGCGCCGACTCCAACATTAAGTCAAACGGTCTGAAGTCATCCTGCTTCAACGGGGTGATCCAGCGAGGCTCGTCCTTGGTTGGCCCAGGGACTGGACCATCTCTGGATGGACCATCTGCTCTGTTCCAAGCCGAGCGGCAATGGAGTGCACCAGGGTAGAGTCCCCCCCCAGGATATAGCCCAGAGAGGACTTCAAGATCCGACTGAGGGCACGTGGACTGCTGCGACCTTTGGCTGCTGCGCCCATGGTGACGCGGCTGTCCAAAAGTCCAACTAGTCGTGAACGAGGGTGAGCTTTAGCACAGTGTTTCAACCATGACTTGTAAACCCTGCATTCCAAACAATTAATGTGCCCTTTCTGTTGAAACTTGTATCTGAACAATTCCCGGAAAGTTTGGCTCTCACAGATGTCCTCCACCCAGTCTGGATCCTCATGCCATGATCTCCAGGCCTGGTCGATGCCCGTGGCTTTTGTGGTGGAGCACTCACCAGCCTGAGGCCCGGTGTCCCGCTCCGAGTGAGCAGCGACGCTCCCCAGAGCCATGCGACGACACAGAGGGAGAGGGTAGGATGCGGAGAAACTGCTCACCGCCTCCCCAAGCCGTGGCTCTCGGCCATAAACCTCCACAACGCTAGGCGTGCACCGCTGTCGAAAGGTCTGCAAGGCATCCTTAGTAAATGAGCCTTGAACTGTAAAATGCCTGTTCTTGTATGCACACGAACATGGTCCCGCCAGCCCACAATACCAAGGTTTGTTGTGCAACCATTTGCTTGGCTTCTGAAACCCTGCACCAAAGCTGCAAAAACTAAACTTGGTAATCCAACATCCTAGACCCACCAACACCTGAAAGGCATGAAGTTCAAACATAACTGAACTGCCACTACCAGGTTGTTCACAGGAAATATAACATCCGCTAGTCAGAGCTAAGGTCAGCAGAAAAGCAGTCCGAATGGCCAGCAGGGTCTGTTCCCGTGTCACCGGGTCTTTCATGTCGAAACCTTCAGGCTGTTGTTTAGATCTGAGTCGTGGTCTTCGCAAAGTGCCGAACGACCAACATGGCGGTCCAGCGTGCCACTCACGGATGGCTCCATGATAAGCTAATTTGCTCAAAGTCAAGAATGTATCCTTGTCGGACAAATCACCGTAGGCGTGGCCCGTGGCGCTCCGTTCAACACCAGGATGCACTCTCAAACCTACTTCAGAGTGACTTCGTGACCAGTTGCCAAACCCCGAGAACAGCTCGATGCAATCGTAGATGATCGTGCGGTCCTGGGGCGTCTTGGTACGAGAAGCAAAACTGTATGTTGAATCGAGCAAATGACTATCAGCTTCAGGTCCACAAGCACCCCAGGTTCAATCCCCAACTCCTGCAAGGCCAACCCGGCCCCCTTCTGAAGTTTTGTATAGTAGCCTCTCTGCTCTGTGTGTCGCCACAACTCTGAGACTGCACCTCGAGGAAAATCAGCCTTGCAAATCCGGGGGATGCGTCAAGCATGTAGATAGCAGGGGCAACATCAACTCTCAAGTCTGCTTGCATGACCGGCGATAACATGCACATCAAAAGCAACTCCGTCATGGTTTGCGAAGACATTTTGAACACGACATCGTCGGCTAGATGTTCACCCTCATGATACACTTTGTCAAAGATTGCAAACACAGGTCTGCGAAATAAGCAAACATGGGTCCAACAACCAATGAGGCCTAGCAACAACTTGCGAGTGATAATGCCTTTTCTGACAATAACACTAGTGATGAAACATAGAGCTGCGACGCGTGTCCTCGGAGCCGAAACACGGCCCCACACTCCGTCAACTTCGGCTCCTAACACAATAGCCCGGTCGACCTGTCTTTGGCGTTTACCAGGGTGTGCTGTGAGCTGAACTTGCTTGTACGCTAGTTCTGAAGCCTTGAACACCTCACTGTCTCGAGTGTGCTGCAAGCAGTCCGGGGTGTGGTCCAATTTAACACGTTGCAGCCCAATGTGGTCGTCAATGGTCAGCAACTCATAAAAAGGTCCTCTAGGACATGGTAGTCGATATTGCAATGCTTCATCGGGTCGCATGCTGCCAGCTAGGGTCCTCAACAAATTTATATGGCTTTGTTGGGCGATCTCAACAGCCAACGCGTCCCCCATCGCCAGGGTTCCCAAACAAACATAACAATCTTTGTTGTACAATGCGGGGTCACAACACTTCAAGTGCTTGAGCTCACTGCCATGAAAGCGTATGCCAATGGCGTTTCGACGAGCTCTCTGATTGCTAACCTTGAAGGTGTAGTAAAACTCGCAAAGATCGTCTGAGGAGATGAGTATCTTTTCATCTGGTGGCAATTGAATGGATGTGATCAAATACCCAGGGGCAAGTGTCTTGGTGAATGCTGAATACCCAAAACATCTCGAGTTGATCACCGTAGGATTCAAAATGAGCCGATCCCACTGCGCATCTTTGGGAACGCAAAATAAACCCACCGTCTCAATGGATGCGACTTGCGAACATTCGATCACTCTGCAAGCATCCAAACTGTCCCATTTTCCGGCCAACTCGAGAATCTCGCTCTTGTCAGCGTGCACGATGGCTTTCGGGAGTGCAGGCCAGGTGTCTTTAGGACGACGAAGGAAATCTGGGTTCCTAAATGCTTCCTTGACCACAGGGTCTGTTAAAAAGGGACTAGGATCGAAGGAGGGAGCTAACTTCCATTTGACGCGGGAAGCTTGAACTCGGAGGGTTGATGTGGTTTGCATTGGCATCCTGACCTGAGGCTCTAAACTAGTCTCTACGGAGGAAAGCCCGGACATGGCATCTTCAGGTGAACTGTCCTGCGGTCGTTCAACACTAGAGTAGCTATCGAATGACTTACGCAAAACGTCCAAAAAACCTTGCAAATCCTGAAAGTCAAACTTCAGGGATTGATGACTTAATTGAAAAGCATAACTAGCTAATTTAGAAAGTTTCTCTCCTGCACGGCCCAGGCTCTCCATTGAAACAGCTTCAGCTCGTAAGAAATGATCAACGAGCTCCTCAAGATACTCCAACATGTCCAACTGAGGTTGGCTCATAGGAAAACCTCTGCGTGCACTCTCAGGCGGAAACATGGTCTGTCCCAGCGTCAGCCAGTTGAGCGCCACCACCAAGTGCTGCAGGGCTCGTGCTCGGACGCGAAGGAAGCGATGCTTCTTCCTCCGCCGGGGAGACAACTTCTCGAGCGGTGTCCAACGCCCCAGCATGGGGGGGGACAAGGCCACAGATCGGACCTGGCAGCAGGTCCGGCATCAGCGCGGATAGGCACCAAGCTGCGCTTAAGGAAGGCAGCAAAAGGTCCTTGGTGCGCCGCGACTTGCAGCGCGGCATTGAAAAACTCACTGCGTTGAATTCCCTCAGGGAAAGCGACCCCGTTGGTCGGGTCGCCAAAATCGGGCAGAAGAGAGCTCTCCTGACCTTTCCCCTGAGGCAGTCCTCGACTCTGACTGGGATCCCTCTTTAGGTGTGCTCCCGCCTTGGCCGTCGGCTCACCACAGTTTCCCCCCCGACCGAAAGAAGCAGTCGGGAGACAATCCCGCTGCTCTGAGGAACAGGTGCGATGGCCGCTGGCGCGGGGACCTTCCATTCCCAGTCTTCAGCTCGCGGTGGTCGAGCCAGCCTCGTCTTTCCCCTTCTTCTTCTTCCAGGGCTTGCGAGACTTTGGATCCTCTGACACCTCTTTGGTCGCCGGTGTCGGACTGCTTGTCTGGCCGGTGGCCTTGATGCGACCCTCGATGAAGTCGAGGTCCTTCAAGTAAGCCACGTTGGCTGAGATCCAACTGGGCTGGGCCATGTGAACGGAACCACACCCGTCCTCATCTTGTTCTTCTGAGTCAGGGCATAGTTTGGCTCCGGGTGTGACGTCAGAAGCCAGCACAAGTGAGTTCTCCCGGCGTCGTTCGCGGTCTGGTCCACGAACAGGAGACTTCTGCAACAAAACCCCTGCAACTGTCGGTTCCCTGACCGGAACCCCACTTCCCAGCCGGCTGCTAGGAGGTAGGCCATCTGAGTGAGGAGCCGATGATCGCCCAGGGGGGTGCGTCATGAGCCCCGGGTGAGGCTGCATAGGGTCCAGGCCTAGCTCCTCTGAAGCATTCTTCTGCACCACTTCTCCCAGCCTGTCCAGGTCCGCAACGACCTTGACATACGCCTCGCGGGCGAGACAGCCTTTATGCCACTGCCTGAGCCGCTGGCCTCCATGCTCCCCGAACCACCTAAGGCTTGGTGGATGGGGTCGTGCTGCTTGGGCATGGTCTCATTGGAGTTGCTTCATTTGCAACAACATCAGGCGTTGCATGGGATCCAGGTGAGCCGCTTCGAGCTCTTGCAGCCCTTCGTCCAACTCCTGACCAGTGGTGGCCTGCAACCCTTCTTCTTGCTGCAAGGCTTCCAGCAACTGTTCTGGGCGAGCTTCGCGGGCCAGGCGCTCGTGAGCTCCAAGGCGACTGGGCGCTCCACCCGCCAACTGCTGTAGTCGTAGAAGGCTCTGCTCCGAGGCTCTGGGTGGCGTCATCCCGCTGAACAGCACTCCTTGGCGGGCCTTTTGCCCGAGTGGCTCCGCTCTGGAGGAACCAGGCGTGAAGCCTTCGCGGGAGCTCCGGCTCCGCCCCCAGCGCCTCCGCCTGTGCCTGGTCGTCTGCTGTTGCGTAGTCGCCAGCAGTGTCTTCGTCCATGGCTTGACTGATCCAAGCCTCTGCAGCTCCGAGTAGTGAACTTCGACGAGGTCTGCATGCCTGCCCCTCGTGAGAGAAACGCAGCAACTCGAACGCTTGCGAACTTCGGAGAGAGTGAGCTCGGATGAACAGATTGGCCAGGTCCCAGCATAGATCTACCAGGAGAATAGCAGCAGTCCCCAACAAGCGGCCTCGGGTGGTTTCCATCTCGACCTCTGCCAGGTGAATGGCCGTAGCTTCCACGCCACCTTCCAGCTCGACCTCTTGGTCTTGTAGGAGATGAGCAACCTCTTCTGTGTCTGGAGCTGCGATCATGAAGCCCCCGAACCGGAGCTTGATCAAAGTGCATTGTGCTCGCAAAACTGTACCGTCCTCGCGGGCCGGCAGTCGGAGGAAAAGACTTGGGAGCGCTCCTCCGGGCGCTCGGGCCCCATACAAGGCCCTCAATGCATCTTCGTTCAATCCAGACGCCGCAGAGGCGGCGGCCATACTCTCTCTGCTCCGAAGCAATAGGCTTGGCCCTCAGCTCGCGAAGCAAACCCCTCGCAGACGGCGTCTGCGTGTTGGCGACCCAAAGAACCCGTCACCGAGTTCCGGAAGGTGGCGTAATGATCAGTCCACCCTGCCGGATGTCCAGGAGCCCCTCGAAGGACTATGTAGATGCGATTGGGGAGAGGGCTGTCACAGGCAGTCACTGCAGGACTGCGCTGAAAGCCGAGTTTGGCTCGTGCCAAAAGCCCACACCGCAATGCCCTGCCGATTCTGGCTGCAGGCGACCAACCACCAGGCGAGCCGCGCAGCCGGCTGTAGAGATGGCGGACTCCAGACAAATCCAGGGCCTCGAAGTCAGCCGGATTCACGGCAGCCAGAAGTGCTGCCTCCCAGGCAGGAGATCCAAAGCTGTGGTTCACCGGCACCTCAACCAAGGTTCCGCTGGTGGCACCCAGCGCAGCAAGTTCTCCAGCAGGAGAACTGAGGGCCCGGATGGGGCTGCAAGTGCACCTGTACCAGGGGCCTCCACCACGAAGAAGGAGCCAATGCTCTCCGTATCACCAGTCTGTCCAGCTTCCGGAGCCTCCCTTGAGATCCGGATGTTGAGCCCTCCGAAGGTCACCGTGAGCTCTGACACCTCCTGGGCGCTCATGCACCGTGCACCCTGTACTGGCTGAACCTCCGCCTCAGCTGCAGGCCCTGGTCGTGAAGCTCTGGTTCCACCCAGAGGTTGAGCAGCAAGGAGGAAGCCAGCCTCACTCCGCGGCGGCAGGCCGGGGAGATGAAGCAGGAAGCCAGGCAGCCTCCACAGCAGCAGCCCAGGGTGAAGGCCAAGACGATGGCCAGCAGCAGCCAGCCCCAGGGACAGCTGCACGAGGTGCTCGTCGGCACCCAGAACTTGAGCTCGCGCAGGTCCACGACAGCAGCCCAGTGCATCCGCGGCCCGTCTCGAGCCGAGAAACTAGAGCAAGTGCGTGCTCAGATGCTCATGATAGAGAGGCATATATTTAAATTGAAAAAAAACATGTTTGTGTTATATACCCTTTGGGGTCATCTACAATCACCTATTTGGGGTTACCCTGAAACACATCACAAGCCGAGTAGCTGTTCTGCTGAAAGGTACTCTCGTTCACCTCGCTACTACCAGCCGGTGTGCCAGCAATCAAATCCGTGCTGCAGTCTGTGGAGAGGTAGAACTGAGCTTCACAAACGTGCCAACCATCAGCGCCAGCTCCTGGCTTTCAGGCTGCTAGTCTACAACTCTAAGATGTTGCCTCTGCTTTCAGAACCAAATCTCATCAAACACCCAGTTTGAGGTTCTAAAAGTCACCGGGCCCAAACCTTTTAGCCAGTCGTGCCTGAGATGTTGCTAGACAGCACTCGCCACCCGAGAGGGCTAGCGCCAGTAAGACCCGTACCTGGCTTCAGACAGTCTCAGCCCCATCCGGCGTCCGCGCAGTTCTCATTTTGCAACTCACCCCATTTGCGCAGAGGACAACCAAACTTTATAGCGGCCCAGACTACCGCTTTTCTGGTTGAAATTCACTTGAGCTGTGCTGAAAACCTTGCTGCTTTCCCACTCAAATGCTTCCCTTATTGAACCAAGCGAGTTTGTGTTAATAACTCAAAGCTTCTTGCTCCTAGTAGAAATGCCCTTGTTATTAGTAGCTTCTTGCTCCCAGTAGCGATGCCAGGAGCCCCTAGTAGCGTCCTTGCTCCTAGTAGCGATGCCAGGAGCCCCTACCAGTCTACCAGGTGCTGTCAACTCCAGAGAGTTCAAACTAGGCTCAAGTATCCAAATCACGGGCCTCTGGGCGGCAACTACGGGGTGAAGGTCCATGCTGTTTTGAGGGCGTCAGAAAGGAACCCCCAAAGAGACTCGATGATCTGCCAGGAACCTACTCAGTGTCTCTATGCAGAAACGAAACTTGCCAAACCGAAGACCCAGCCACGGATCGTGAAATTCTCCACTGCAATTCCTGAGAAGTTTGTCCCAGAAACGTCCCGGATGACACCTGCCATGCGCAAGACCGGGACTCAAACCCAAGAGTTGCAGGGCTAGCAAGGAGTTGATGTTCATTTCGTAAGGTCCACTACGAAGTATTGACTATTAGCGTTCTTCGTGCCCAAAAGACCAAGCTCACTTGCCAAAGTTGGGTCAACTGACCTGGGAAGGAGGGTCAAGACACAAGCCATCCCGATGAGTCTCCCATGAATGTGCGACCTGTACCCGTCACCTTCTCCACTAATACCTCATACCGATACATTTCGCTGAATAACTTCCTGGAGCTCTGCCGGAGGAAACATGACTTGAATGGACTCTAAGATGTGTGCAGCTTCCGAAACCACACCAGTTTGGAGACACCAAACCTTCGTAGTCTCTCTTGCCAACCAAGATCCTCGCCACTTCATTGGTGAAAGGGCTCGAGTTTGATTATAAAATCATTTCTAAAGAGTGGCGGGTTGCTGGGTGGGACTCTCTGTAGGCACCCAAAGTCTTGGGTGTTGCGAATTGGAGAGGCATTTGGACAGCGTGGTTGGCAATACAACTTGCGATAGTGTATCTCAGTATGTTCTTGCAAGTTCATGGATACCCAACTTCTGCTTGTGCCAATCGTGTTTCTTTCCTCTCAACCCGAATGCCTTCAGGCACATAGAACTGATGGAGGTGAAGGCCCGAAAGCCGATGGGGATACGTGATCAAGACCAAGTTCTTGGTGAAGGTCACAGAGAACGTATCCTGGACCTGGGAGCTTGCGGAGCTTCCAACTTCGCCACACAACTGACAAATGGATCAACCTTGTGCATCGCTTGTTATACACCAAAAACGCGGTAGTGTCTATCTCAGAGTGGTGAGGGGGGCATTCCAGCAGCAGCGTTGCCAGTCTCTTGTATGTTGAGACGCTATCTGGGTAAACAATTGGAATGCACCGCGAAAGGATGGATTCTCCACTGAACCTGCCTGTGGGCCCTTGTGGCGGGTGGCCATTCCATGGAGGTATCACCCTTTAAGTGATCCGACAAGCCAAAAGAACCCGGCACTGCTCCATCATGATACAAGCATGTCTGCATGCTTGTCTGCATGATAAGCTCCCAAGAAACCACATGAAAAGGTTTAACAGTTTAGGTGTCAAACAGAATCCACTAAAGCTTTACATAGACTGACTAGACTCACCTGGTTTTCAAAGCCATCGGTCGCTTCTTTTCAGGTTATCCTGGTCGGCCAGGACGGCCATGGCACGTTGATGTCCACGGAGGTATCGTCAAAGGTGCCGCCCTGTCCACAAATGTTATCCGCACCACCTAGGCCACCAGGTACGGCAAGGAAACTCTTCGAAACGCCCGCAGTGGTTGGCCTTCAAAGCCCTTCTAAATCCAAAAGCACTCAGAAGAGGATCCCTGTCTATCCTGTGACACATCTGTTATGACCCAGCTGTTAGTGGCTTTTCTGCTCTTTGTCTTCTATGGCTTGCTTATATGCGCTATTGATGATTCCGTGCGGCGTGAGACATCAAAGCCTATGTCAAGTGGAACCCGGGCCCGTTTGCGTGCAACTCCTCCAACCAGTCAGCCCTACACACCTCCATTGTGGGCCCAGCCACAGTCGATGATCTGGAAGTTCCCTTCTCCAGCTTGAACCCAGTCATTGAAGGTCAACAATACCTGAAGTCCCAGGATTGTGGGAACTAGGTTCAGAAGAGATAATCGGGTCCTCTTTGCATGTCACTGATAGACGACCCAAAGAGCGACACAGAGATTTGCGAGATGTTGGGAATCAACAAGGAGACTGACAAACTCACACCTGGGTACAGTGGCAACCCAATGTCTCAGTTCAAACAGGGTTGCAGTGCGACCCCCAATTCTACGTCACATAACGTGAGCTTCAGCTTGCATAGACAGCTTTGCTCAGCGGCCAGCCTATGTAACCGGAGGGTGACACACCCAAAATTCGAACTCTCCTTGCAGCCAACTCCTCTGCGATGGTTGCATTTTCTGGATCAGCACTCCCAAAGAGCTCGAGGCAAAACGATAAATAGAAAGGAGGAAGAAGAAATCAGAAGAACAGTGCAAAGAAGAAATCTTGTCTCTAATAGCTTCTTGCTCCTAGTAGCGATGCCAGAACCCCCTAGTAGCGTCCTTGCTCCTAGTACGGCCAGGAGCCCCTAGAAGTAGCGAACCTCGCTCCTACCCGGCCTGGAAGTTCGAGGTGGTCACATCCTCCGAGCCATTGGCCGGAACAGTGGACATGATGCTTGGCCCAGTGGAGGGCGCATCAGCAGTCACCGGAGTATTCCAAGGAACGTGCACGCTGAGGGATTGGAGGCATTGCTGTAGAAGCTCCACTGATGCGTGCAAGTTGAGCCTAGCAATTGGGAAGACGCGAATAGAGTTCCAGGTGGAGAGCTAGGTTGTGTGAGCTCTGTGGAGAGCGGGTCATCACGAACCTGTGGAGAGCTCTCTTTAAATTTTGGGTCCTAGGTGGTTGTATTCCACTTGGATAGCGATGGCCCCAAAGCTTGCAAGCCCTTACCCTGAATACGGCCCATCCATCCATTGCATGGCCAAACCAACGATCGTGGAATGTCCAGCGTACCTAGGCTTGAGGGCTCTGGCTCTGGGAGATATAAACCCTTGGGGTGTCCAACAGGCTGGATGAACTTGATCGAACAAACGGCCCGGCTCTTCAATGGCAGTTTACGACGACAAAGAAGACAGTGCTCTGCAGCATGGGTCAATGAGTCAATGCCCTTCAGTTTTCTGGGAGCTCCCATCAAACTGTTGCAACATGGTGACTTAGAGTAACAAGAAGCTACTGGGACCCGTGAAGCATGTCAGGCCTCGTCTGTTGGAATAGGCCGCCGATGGTGCCTTGAGCCCTCGCAACCTCCCAAGGATTGGTCCAATTCATGACCCGCTCCTGAGATTCACAAACGACTGAGCTACAAACCTAGAGTCATGCCCAGTTGTCTGTCATCCCACTTAGATCGTCAGTCCACTAGCATCCGTCAAACATCTGGAAGAGAACGAAGCCCTTAAAGAGTGTTGCTCGGTTGGACTTGATTCAGCCAGTTAATTTTGAGAATGCTAGACTGAGCAATTGGAGCAAAACAAGCGCTACCTGATCCGCAAATACAAGCATCATTTGTGCACTGCACAGGCAAAGGCTTCACAAAGCTCAATCCATCCGCCAACTCAAGCCTTACAATGATGACTCAAGTCGATGCAACGCTGCAACACACTCTACCTCTTGACCGCTGCAAACACAAAAGAGGAAAACCTACAAAGGCAGAAAAGCTTTCAGAACATCCCAATGAATGGGGCTCAGTGGCTGGAGGTCAAAGTAGTTGGGTGTGCCAAGTACACCAGACCTTGGATCTTACAAAGTTTTTGGAAAATCACCTCAAAGACTCCTTATAGGATGTTGATCTGGGGGTTAAAAAAAGAATTCACTTGTTCAATTCGGGTCACCCCCACAGCAGTGGTGACTGATCCTCCACCCGGAGGAGATTGCTCAGCAAGAGGTCTGATCCTTGAGCGATGGACACGCTGCTGCTGAGGGCATAGATCTGCAAACTGTTGGCCTCGGTGCATTGAGCTGCTAGGCCATGGCACATCCTCCAGCTCCTTCAATAGAAGAGTTCAAATCTAAAACCAATATCAGCCCTGTTGAACAAACAAGCGCTACCTCTGCAGTCTGCTAACTGACGCACCACCAAACGAGCCAACAATCCAACTGCCGCGTGACTGTCACATTCTCTGCTTCGACCGTCTCGTTCGGAGCCTCCAGAGCCTCAGCCTCCACCGTTAGGGTGCTGTAGACCACGTCTCTGGGATCCTCTGTGGTGAAGTTGGAGCTTGATAAGTTGCCTGTGCCGAAAACGGCCCTCCGAGGCCGTTCTGAGAACAAAGTTCTGATGCAACTTGTCTCTTTGTTCTTTTAGTGTTTGGGAAGATAAAAGAAAACTAAAAAGAATGCCAAATTCTGGTCAGGCGCTCCAAGAGGAGTTCGCAGAATCCTCTCAAGCATGGTTTAGCCGGTTTAGCTTTATATAAATTACATCACATGCCGCATTGCAAAATATTCAATCAAACTGAAACTCCCAAATGATCCTTTGCTGAAGCCAACATGCTCGTGCTTGTCATTGCCACTCTGGACATCCACTGTGTGCTGTGCCGGTGTCCTCACCCTCCACCTGGGTCTAATTACATAACATGGATACGTATGAATTCTCCCTGTAGTTTGCTTGATGGTGTGTTCATCATCAGTACCACCATGCTCACAGCATGAGCAGATCGCCATGCATGTCCACTATTCATGTTGACCACAAACTCACCCTTGCCGTGCCCGACTCCTGGATGGCAGTCCTGAGCGCAGTGGCTTATTGGTGGAACCATCAATCATCATCGAAACTGAGCAAAAAGCAGTACAGTACGACAAGTTGGCAAGAGCCAGTTTAACTGGATGAGCCGCTATGTCAGCGCAGTTGTGTCACCATAGTCTCAGGCTGCAATCAATTGGAATATCCGCCAAGAATATACTTTTTCACCACGGAACTGGTAGATATGACTGGAAGGAAGACAGGGCCTTTGAATGGAAAAATGAAAGATGCAATCAATCCTCTTTACGCCTGCTTTTTCCTGCAAAATGTTTACCAAACTATTGTCTGTCTATCAACCATAGTCTAGTGCAGCTGTGGGGTGGAGCTCTTTTCCGTTCAGCCAGAATGCTCATACATATATACATCATCCAAGTAAAACATCAGTTCTCAGGTTAGGGTGCGTGGAAACCTTCGCCGACAAACACTGCGAACTCCATGCAACGTGCGCCATAACAAAGGAATCCAACGAATTCACTGGCCATCATCTTAACCTGTGTGTTTGAAGCACTCGAGTCCAGCTTTGCCTGGGCCCTCTAAAGAGGATCCTTTTAAGCCTCTACAGCCGCAAAAAGGAGAATGGTGGCTGCAGGGGCTGTGGGACGTGAATGTGAAGATTTTGTCGAACGAGCAAATCCCCGGCTTAGCTTGGGCAGCTTGGGCTCGTCTGATTGTAGAAGCCTGGGATCATGGGATTAAACTCCGGAAGCTGCTCGATCTCTGGCAACTCTTCCACTAAAACCTCCAGAGCACACTGCATGGCTTTCAAATTGGAATAGTCTCCAACTGATTGAGGCTCAAGATTATATGAGGGTCAAAGAAAGCGAGAACCTCCTTCACAGGTAGTCAGTAGAAAGTTCTGTGATGAAAAAAATGTCTGCCCGTCTACAGTGGGTTGCATGTGGCTCACCAAGGCTTCTTGATTTGCTTTCCAACACACAAACGCTGTACTGTGTGCAACAGGAGAGAAGCCACAACAAAAGTTCTGTAAAGATATGCAAAAAGCAGACCCCCTTGATTGAGAAAGTAGTTTCGAAGCTTGATCGAATATGCTCAGGTGGATATCATGCGCGATGCGAACAGGAGACAGTCACTCTTGGAGGTTGGATACTTATTTGCGTCTCAGAAACTGCAGGCTCAATTTCAGGCGCATCATCTACGTCGCCACTGCAATTTCCACTGATACCTGGCAGCTCTTTCAACAAACTCGGCCCAGCAGAATTCATTAAAACCAATTTAGCAACTTTGAGGAATGCTGAAGCTTCACAAAGCAGGGTCAGTGCAAGTGATTGAGTTCTGTGCTTGGAGCTCATAACTGGGAAGAAACTGGTTCAGTTCAGGTGTGGGAGTGATTGAGCATGAACCACCAGCAACGCTTCATTGAAAGGTGTGAAGTCACCAAGAAGATCCTTGACTACTTGGCTCTTAGCGACTGAATTCATGCAGAACAAGGAGGGTGCAACTTAGTGTGGCCGTCAAGGTCACAGCTCCATTCCTCACAACCACTCTGCAGGGGCGTTTTCCAGCTTCGGCGGACTCAGAAGCACATCTGAAAGGAAACAGGGAGGTGCTGAGCATATTGCAACACTGAAGACCCTTCCATGAGCCAAGCCGTTGGGCACGGATTGTGAGCTTGACTCTTCAACAGGTCGTTGATGTCAACTGCTCTACCAATCTTTACCCTCGAGCCATTCTGCATAGTCTCTCAAAGCCTTTCCTTCCAGGCCACTGGCTGAGGCAACATGAGCAACTGCCTCACCATATTCCATCAGCAGTTCCTCATAGTCGTCCACATAGTCCGAACCAAAGCCCTCATCATCTGTCTCGAGGTCCAAGGAACCACGCGCCCGCGACTTCCAAACTCTTTTGGAAACTTCCCCACCCTCCAGGCTGAAGTCTCGGAAGGCGTTGTCCCGACTGGGCGTCCAGCCATTGCAAATAACATCTTCAAGACACTGGCAAGTGCGATCCCGGACCAAGCCATCCAATGAGTATGACGACCATTTCTGCTTCACAGACAGGAGGTAGGCAACATCAGCAGCGGCATACTCTAGTAGTTCCTGTCTGAGAGGCCTCTCTTCCCAGACAGCCTCACTGCCACCAGCCTCATTGCTGAAGAGACCACGGCCAGCATCTTTCACAGCTTTCAACTGTTCCAGCTGGCATTCGCTAACGACAGCAGCAGACTCCAATATCTGGTAGAAGCCCTTGATAAACCTGTCGCTCTCCCTGCTGAATTTCAGGTCATAGCAACTGGCTAGCTGGATCCCATATCCTGTGTGCAACGCATGCGAATCACCACGTCCATCACATAGTACCTTGCACACAGGGCCTTCTAAAAGCTCTTTCAAACGACCATTCGTGAATGCTGCCGGCCCCATGTCGGTGATGTCAAAAAGCATCACACTAGATGGGGTTGCAACCTGGATGATGCAACCTTTGCCCGAGCGGCAAAGCTCCAATCCTTCGAGATCTACTGCAACTTCCCTCAAGCGCAGCAGTGATACCACCACTTCTCGACAACGTTCCACGCAATTGATCAGCTCATACGGAACGTTCATGGCAGGCCGGCTTTGGAGGACTTCTGCCCCGGCAGAAATGGGAGCTCTGACTTGCGAGTTGAGTGCCCCAAACGCTTCTACAAATGCTCAAGAAACATTGTGTCCAACATGCTGAGCCTGTGAGGTGGTTGCTACTAGTAGCGATGCCCTTTGCTCCTAGTAGTCTTGCTACTAGTAGTATGGCCAGGAGCCCCTAGTAGCGTCCTTGCTCCTAGTAGCAAAGCCACCTCTCCACTTTCCAACCAACTACTTTTCAGGGAACCGAACTCAACCCTATGCAAGGATGAGTGTTCACACCCCAAAGTTACCTCTTCCGTTTTGAGAAACTCTTACATCGTAATAGACACATGGGTTAGCCAAGCAAAAAAGTGGGTGAGTTTATTTGGCCAGTTGGCTGGAACTGTAAGCAGGGCAAATGTGGTGCCGAGCTTCTGTCGTTGCAGCTAATGTTCTCCTCCCTCTCTTCGCGGTTGAACATCACAGGAGGTGGTCTGCGAGGCAGGTCCTGAACTGATCTGGGTCTTGGCCAGACCGCTGAAATTGTGCGGTAGATACTGTTCTAGTGGGAAAAAGTGGTCTTATGATTTGAAAAACAATTTGATACGTCCATTTCGACATCCGCGCACCCCTGCGGTTTGTTCCGATTGATGTGCAAGGCTGTTTAGGAGAATAGCTAGAGCCTAAAATATCTTGATTCTGACCGCCATACCAGTCAGGTCTCAACGGACATACGAATTGAATCCGACGGGGCTTACAATGCTTGCAAGCACACCCCAGAGGACCAAGCGTCTGTCAGCCTTTCACATGTTTCATTTTCGCTGTCATTCTGGATATTGAAGTCGCAGGGCACCTCGCGCTGGCTACTTCGTGGCTGCGGTTGTGCTGGCGGCGGTGGCACGGGTGCTGCAGCCGGCTCAATGTCGATGTCCCAACAGCCAGTATAGCGGCGGATGTTGCCAACCTCAAGCAGCATGAACAACGATCTCTGGGACGATGGATAAAAGCAAAAGACAATTGCAAACCAAACAGGAGAAAAAGTTTTCCCGGCATCTTCTCCTGCGGTCGACAGCCAGTCGATTCTTCGTCTTTCGTTGGCTGCTCACAACACCTTCGAAAAGACCTGGATGGATCTTTCCAAGGCACACCTGACCTCACTGGTGTTTTTGCGTCTGACTTCAAGGAGCAACTCCCTTTTTTCAAACAAGCAACCCTCAAGGAGCTTGAGATGTCTCGGAGAAAGAGACACAAGTGGTCCAAACCATGGCGGTGAGTCATCTGCGCTGGAGGAGTGTAGCTCAAGGTGTTGAGGACATCTTCCAAATCAGCAGCTGAGCCTTGCAAACCTGAGCAGCAGTACAGTGGCCGGAATGTATTCTTATGTCTCCCTGCCACTGGTAACCCGGTAACCCTAGCACTCTTAAAGTTTATCCAACTCAAAAACGGAAAACTTCGGCCGCCTTCACCTTAAAGAGTGTTCATTTCAGCAGTACAGTGGCCAATGAGGTTCCGCTCCGCCTCGGTGAGAATCACCTGCTCCGAGACTGCCATGCTGATGTTTCCATACTTCGCCATGATCCGCATCGCAAAGGGCCACGGGGCACCCACGGCCCCAGTGGAGCGCAGATCGATGTCATGGATCTTAAAGCAGCACAAGGACTTCGGGGTGTCCTGCAAGTCACACATCTGAAGCGTCTTTCTTTACTTGGTGAAGGACATGGTTCGACCAAGAATTGCTTTCTAATCGCCTTTCTTGGCGAAGCATGCGGTGGAGACCCGGAACTTTGGGGCACAGGTATAATTCGCCCATTCTGCTCAACGTAATCCAGACAAAAGCTCACACATATAGACGAAACTCATTTGAACCTAGCTTCCTTTTGCTGTCAATTGAACCACCCAATTGTTGATCAGAGCTGGTAGTGAGCCAACTATTTCTTTGCATCATGGGATACTGCATAGTGGATCATAGTGGTATATCGGGGAATCGTCGTTTGTGAGCTTTCGCTGGTTTGCCATGCTTCGGAGTTCAACATGTAGAGGCAATTGGTTTGGCAATCGACGGAATGTCGGCAAAAACGGCTTCCGGCTTCTAGACTTCGTTCCTTCCCCCCCATTTTGACGAAATGTAAGCTCAACATGGATCTCAAACAAACAGAGCCTGTTTGAAGGTTCACCAGGATCCGCAAATTGGGTTCACACGAAAAAGCTTCAAACGAATGTAAGCCAATCCTTTCAGACTTGACCACTCCCGTGCACAATGGAGGAGGTGCACTCGTGCCAATCCTTTGGGAAACACGATAGCAAACCAAGCTCTTCGTGTTTGTGCACCTCCCAAAACTTGTTCCGAGCACAACTCAACTCCCCCTCTGTCCTGCTGGACATGTAGAGGTAAAGCCCAGGGATGATTCAAAGAGAAAAGCACCGGTGTGTCGTCCACCGGCTCTACCTCAAGGGTCAGCTTCATATCACAACAAATAAATCCACTCAGACTCCACTCAGCTCAGTAGAGTTTCAAGAAGACTGTGTGTTTCTTGCAGTTGCTCAAGCGAATGTCCCGCTTTGGGGTTAGTTCTCTTACTGCAATATAGCGTGCCAGGCCATGGCAGGCCTCCACTGTCAAAGCCCTTGTGGAGCAGGTGTCTGCCATGGTAACTTTCAGATCCAAATCCCATTGGCACGCCTGCGGTTGCTTTCGCACCACTCCCAAACGGCACAGCACATGTGTCAGCTCAAAATACGCACACCTACACATTTATGTGCTGAGCAAAAAGAAAGGAACAAAAACTCTTGGTCTAGATCAAGTTTACATGTGTATCAGTTAGATTTCAACAAACAATACGCATTCACTTTGCCAAACACCGTCCTGCAGCTCGATCTTGGCCGGTTGTGCTGGAGGACTCACCCAGTCTCGGTTTGGGTGTTTCCAGCGCACCTCCTGCAACAGAGTGTCCAGCACGGCCATAGACCCAATCACTTCCAGGCGTGTTGTGGAGGAGGAAAGGACCGAACCAAAGGACAAGTGGACCATCTCATCCAACAGCAGGGCACCATCGGTGGATGAGATCTTCCTGATGTCAGTGGTCCAAACGTCGGATTCCCAACTCTCTTTGCTTGACTTCTTGGAGGTTTTCAGTAAAGTCCTTCACCATGCGAAGCTGCACACCAAAGTAAAAACACACTTAGAAAGTTCCCAGCTGCAGATAGAGCTTGGGCTCTGGTGCAGGGAAATCGATGTGAATTCCCCCAGCTTGGCCAAACCAAAAGGCCTGGAGACACAAGACAGCAGCCAGATTCCTTTTGGGCAGCTGCAAAGAAAGGAGATATACATTATTGTGTATAATTAGTTGTATTGATCGGTACTGCCCAAAACATATCACTTCTTGTCTGCCTTGGGGGTGCTTGGGCGTGTTGGGGTGGTGGTACTAAAACAGATGATGATCCGTGGAGGAAACGAAGATACTATCTTGAAGGTGAACCAAATAATCGGTGATATTCATACGACAAAATCCTGTCTCCAATACAAGTTTAGGAGTGGGTTCCAAGCAGGGATACCTCCACATTAGGGACATCAAATATTATGTGAGTGACTCAAAATCCTTCCTTTCTCTGCCTCATCCTCCTTGCTCTTCAGCGCTGCCGTCTTCACAATGAGACCAACCGGAAGTCGAGCCTCTGTTTCCACAACTAAAAGCAGCTTGAAAACAGGATCATCATCTTACTTTAAAAGCGTAGGAATGAGCACTCACTCTTGTTGCGACTCTTTTGGAAAAGGACAATTAAATCAAGATCCTTCTACCTGCATGCCCTCATTGGTTCGTGGTCGTGGTAGGTGAATCTTTCATCAAGATTCCTGCTAGGTTCGGCTGAGAAGCAGAAGGCCAGATTCTTCAAGCAACTGAATAGACTCCAGAACAAAAGAAACAAACAAGTCTTGTCCCCTGTCCCTCCGCCTGCAAGACCGTCACACGAAAGGCGAGCTCACCCGTGAGGTTTCTGCCACCCTCCAAGCCACCATCAGAGACACGCCTTGCAAAGGAGCTGCCACAAGGTCTAAAAGAGAAAAGCCCTCCATGCTCACAAATATGTTTCAAGAAAACGAATGGGAAAATTATGGCCAAACACTAGCCAAGTCCAGTCAGGCAAGCTGCACAAACACCTCATCTTCCCCCGCAAACCACCCTGGTGGCTTGTAGAGCACTCTGTTGAAGGACTCTTGAATTTGCTGCAACGTGCCCTGAAGACGAAGGTAGCGGCTCGGATATGGAGGCGCAGGAACTTGCCTTGGCAGCTGGATATGCCACATGGAGCTTGTAGTAACACCAAAAGTTGTAGAAGGGTCGATCGACTATATGAACAGTTGCGCATTGGTTATGTCAGAAGGTTTCAGTGGATAAAGAGACTGGTGGGAGACATGGTTGGAGAGTTTATCGCGTGGGAAGGGCAGCTTGAATCTTGCTTGAGCACGTCTTAGATTCGGAATGTAGACACCTCAAAACGCCATGGCTGTTTGAAGAAGAGGTGAGGAAAAATTAATGATTGACCCAAAATCATCGAATCAGTTGAGAAAAGGCATCCAAGTTGGACATAAAGCCAGCCCAGCAGCTCTTGCCAAAGGGGTTCGCCCAAGGGAAACAAGATCTCCCCAACCAGCGTCTGGAAAGTGAGGGTGAAGCTCTCAGCACGTTCTGCACGCCATCCCACAACGTCCGGATCATAGACCCGAATGCCGCGGAACGGGAACGACTCATTGTTCAGCATCTCCTGTGCATCTTCAGCAACTAATTTGCCTTCAATTTGGATTGGCCTTTATTGACTTCAGTGACGGCTCTCAAGCATTTTGGTTCAAGTGGTTGTCCAAATTTGAGCTCGCCAAGCACGGAGTTCCAGACACACAACCAAATCAACAAGCCTATCGAAAGATTCACCAAAGAAACTCGGTCGTCTTGGTTGTCTTCGTCTCATTTCTCGCTCAACCCTCCTGTGGAGGCAAGGTTACCCAGTAGAGCCATGGCATGTCATTCACCGCCTCGACTTGGATCTTCGACTCCTTCGCGCAACGTACCACGGTTCCGTATTTGGATCATCCCGCAACCAGCCTCAAGTTCAATCGTGAATGGCTTTGAACCTGGGGTTAACCCCATATAACCTGATATGGCGGTGGTTTGTTGTAAACTGCAATTCTCTACAGCCTGATTGACTAAGGCACACAATATGAAATTAACCCAGCTGACAACCCCAATGGCAAAACATCCACCAAGATCCGGCGCATTTTCTCTTGCGTTTGTTTTCACATATCGATCATCGAGGACAATTCATTTAAAAACAAGTTAAATGCATTCCAATAGTTTATACAACACAAACAGTTCAATATCCAAGCTAAATGTATCTTCCGTAAACCACGAAGCACTTAAGGAATGTTCGCCGATGGCCAAACTGTATGTTCAAGTGCTCAAGTGTCTGCGCATGGTGCATACCTCTGAAGAACCATTTCCATACAGCACAACAAGAGATTCGCACCAAGGAGAGGTGTGTGTGTGTGTGTGTGTGTGCAAGTCCGATTCTGACAAAGAATGAAAGGAATAATGAATTTACAAACGACAGGAGCCTATGATTATCACCAAAGGAAGAGGAAAATGTTTTGAAGGACACCCGCATAATGCACTGAATGCAGCACGCAATTAGTAGCCAGCTAAGATCCTTTACAAAACCAGTACAAAGGATGCTGACGTCAAGCGAACCAGTGTTTTTACATGTCGACGCATAATCTATAATCTATATACATTAGGCGCGACATGATGCTTAAGCGCCAGCACACAATGTGCACCAGGTGTATGTACATGCAAGCGCAAACATCACGGAGAGACACCACCGGAACATGACCGAGACACCACCTAAAACATCACGGAGAAACACCACCGAAACATGACGGAGACACCACCTAAACATGACCAAGACACCACCGAAACATGACCCAGATACCACCAAACATGACCGAGTCAGACACCACCTAAACGTGACCGAGACATACCGAGACAGCCGAGAGAGGGAAGACTGTCAAATCATTTCTCCTGAATGATCTTGCGTGGCTCAGCCCCAAAGACATCTACAAATGCCACAGTGATTCTCATCAATACCTCTCCATCAAAGTTAGAGGGGGGCGTGAAGACCAAGTGGCGAAGGCATTCTCGCACTTCACCTCATTGCCAGGTTCCGGGTAGCAGCTTGGCTCAAAGCTGAAAATTCTGGAGTGCAAAATATCACTTGAAAAGTCTTTGTAAAGCTCCACTATATTGCATATTTGGATCCCAACCTTCTTGTTATTTGGCATTTGGGGTGGTCTTGCGCCAGTCAAGGTGGGCTCCCAATTGTTTGTAGAACCCAAATGCAACTTAAAGGGAGCCAAAAACACGCTCATATAACTTGCAAACCGAATTCTTCTCATGCAAGCGACCTCGAGTTGGCCTCAGAGCCACTTCGGCACCAACTTCGCAAGAGGCCAAACTGGGAAAGGAGGGATCGCTCGAAGTACCTGCACATCTTGTGGTGAAGATTCCTGCCCTCCGTCCTGCAAAAGCATCACAATGGACCATACCAGTCGATACAGAAACCTGCAGATCCACATAGGTGGCGCTTTCATCAGCGTCGCCTCCTTGCCAAGCGGTGACAAGCACAACGGATTCTGTTAGACCAATTCTTGCACAGAACAAAAGTTGAAGGTCTTTAATTGAGAGCATCTTTGGGTCAGCTGGGGAAACCCTGCCAGAAAATCAGCAGCCAGGCGTCTCAGGTCAATACAAATAGGAGCTTCCCAAACATCCTCCTGAATCCTAAACCAGACTTCGTCAACGCCAGTGGACTCACATGGCTCCAGGTGTGGCATCTCATCTGCTGCCTGGGATGGACTCAAATCACCAGAAACATCTGTCTAAAGGATCACAGCTAGTACCCTCCACAAAAATCAACGAATTGACCAACCTGTTTTTTGGGTGACATGTTCATTTTGGGGAGCACTATTTGCAGGGTGAACCAACCGGTCACGGTCACACCAGAGCGTGCTTTGCGGATTGATAGGCCACGGTCTTACGGACAAGATCTGGGAGTCCGTTGCCACTCGCTGCTGAGCTGCAGGCATCCAAACATGAAGAATATGGGATTCCACCTGAGATTGGCTGAAAGCAGCAGTTTGTTGGCAGTCTTTGTTGAACAATCCCTAGGAGTCGAATTACACTCCCCAAATCAAACGTACCCCTGGCAGCAGTGAGGACCCAAACTAACATATCCCAAACCTCTCCGGTGTTTCCTGGGGAATTGCATGTAACTTTTGCTTTTCGGTAGCTTCAAGAAAAGGTCCAAAAACATTGCTAACCTGGCCTGGGGCAACCATGCATATTACAACTTGAGAGGAGGGAGACACGAAAGGTAGGACAGCGGGAAGAGAAGAGAACGCGAGAGGCAGGGACAAAAATGCAATGTTCGACATGGTGATTTATCCCCTCGGAGGCGACCTTTCGTAAATATATGTTCATATGCACTTTAAATGTTCAAACATGTGCTCTCGAAATGTTCAAAAAGATTCTTAGGAAAACAAACTTGCCCCATGGCTCAGATCATCGGTGAGCATTGAATCGGAACATCATAGGATTTGAACTATCCTGAAACCATAAGAGGCTCACGAAGACGCTCCCCAGGAGAGAATTGACGTGCTTCACAAAACGTATCCCCTCGGGGAACACCTTTCGTGATTAGAATTTCATATTCACTCTTTCTAAATGTTCAAGAGGGTTTCAACTATCCTGAAATCATGAGAGGCTCACGAAGACGTTCTCCAGGACAAAATTGATTTTAGAGGGGGGGGAGGGGGGTGAAAGAGTGACTAGGGCGTACACGGTAGAGGTGCAGACCGCTAGTGTCTTTTACGCGCAGAGTCTTATCCTCTTGCTCTTTGAGCCTTGAAGCAGTCAAGTATGGACACACTATATCGGCTGTTGGAGTGGAACCCTGTACAGATAGGCTCTACTTTTCAGCAGGCACAAGATTCATGTCCACTCCTAGCTGATTGCGTATGTCGCACACTCTTTTTCTACTGCAAGGCTAAAACAGTCCAGCTAGCTCTAGCAACTTAAAAGAAAACTACGGTGCCATGTACTTACCTAATCCAGTGTGTTTCACACTATAGAGAAGGTAATCTCAAAGCTACTAAATACAGTGAGGGAGCAATAGCTGACTCACCTCAAGTACAAAATCAAAACGATAATGTACCTCGGCTGGAGACTGTACTTTTCACAGGCGGAGATACCATGTACCGGCGCTCACTAGCTCTTTATGGCCTGAGCTAAATCAAACTAAAAGGGAAAGCGGCTTTTTCTCTACAGAGACCTATAAAAGAATCAAACGACACTCGCGTAACAAAGAACTAAAAATTCAAGACCGCGCAAATTGCAATGAATTAGGATGCCTTGCAAAATGCAAGGAGCGTACGGTCCGAGGAATAATCTTCTCGTGACGTGGTCTCGACCGCTTTCATCCACAGACAAAATAAAACTGCATCAAAAGGACTCTTTCTCATTGACATCAAAAACACAAGAAGGAGATACCGGCAAATGTATGTACAAAAAATCTTGCACTACAATTGCAAATCATGAAATGACTTAATCATCAACCATGACTGGTTGTCCATTAGAGGTCATCTCAGAAAAGGCGGCTGTGATAGATATCATCAGTTATGCAAAACTGTCCATACCTATCTACATGCTAAAGCGTATAAACCTGGAATGCAGGAGTATCTTCTTTGATAAAAAGTTTCTCCTCATTGCAAACCAGAATTTATTAAAACTTCAGCCTGGCAACTTAAAGTCAAGCTTGGAAGCAAAGTATCCACTGTAACCAGAAGTATCTTCACTTCCTAGCCATCATTTAAATTTTCAGCCTTCGCTCAGGAATTATGCCGCTGCAGACGATGAAGCTGCTTGATCAGAAGTTGGCGGCCTTCCTTTCCTTTTATTCTCTTTCTGTTTCTCCTTCCTCCGCAGTTTCGCCTCATGAAGAGTTGCTCCCATGCGATACTGTCTTCTGTCTCCAGATGAAAAGGAAGCTGGTCTGAGTGAAATAAACATTGGACCATGACTGTCCTCGTCAGTGGGCCTTGAGCACATAACCTCCGTGTCAATCATAGCAAAGTTCTCTGAAAAATTACAGATGAACTCCTTCGTGCTCACTGTGGAATTTTCATATTCCTCTTCACTCATTGAATGACCCCATTCAACAATGGTAGACAAACATGTATCGCCAAGCTGTGATCCTTGGTATTCTTCTTTTTCAACAGTAGAATATTCTTCCCAGAGTTTATCAAAGTAAACTTCACACTTCTTGAGGACCTGTGAAGTTGAACTGTAAAATGTTCTGGGAATAGGTGCTTTGATACCAGGATCTGCTTTTACACGAGCTTCTGAAAACCTGCGGATCCAATGCTGCATGGTGCTGTAATAGTAGTTAGCCATTGGCTGCCTTTTGTACCCAGACATTCTGTAGGCCAAACTATTTGCATCACCAGAAATGATGTCCACCTCATAGACAAAACACTCGTAAAGCATCAATGCTGTCTGTTCTCCTGTCAGTAGGTGGGCATCCACAGCACGGTGTGTATCAACATGATAATTACAGACTCTGATGGTATGCATGTTCGCTCGAGTAAGTGGAACACGCTTGTCCTCAGGACCATAGTCATCAAATTCAAAGTCTGCATCCTTGAAATCTTGACGAGGCCTTGTTTCTCCAAAACAAATCTCGTAGATAGCCCAAGTTACATCACGCTGTTCACAGTGACCAAGTTCTTGATCATGTCCAGCAATGATCTTGACATATCCACCTGGTGCCAATCTAGCCATCACTGCAAGATTCTCCCAATCATTGAAACAAACTGTCCAATTCTTTTGCTCAATAAATTCCTTGGCAGGAACAAGAAGATGAGCTTCCTGGAGAATCACGACATGCGCACGTAAAAAGAAGAGCATGTTGAAGAAAAGGTTGTTCTCAAATTGCTCATTCTGAAGTGACATGGCGCTCTGTTTGCGTGGCCTCATTGCACTATCAAGTCCTTGGAGAAACCTTGGTGTGGTGTACTTCTGACCACGAACCATGTTGCCATAGTTCCAGGATAAAAATGTCAAGGACTCTGAGCTGGCCAATAAGTTAGTTCCATATGGTTCTTCTATTCTTCCCTTGAGGAACCTTCTGCACAGCTCTTCATAGAAGGTGACAAAATCCCAACTGGGTCCCTTGGGACCATATGATTCCAGTTCCTTCTTAAGTTCCTTCTTTGTATCCTCCAATTCTTCTCGAGCATGTTATGCCCTTTCAAGGGCCTTTGGATCGACCTGATACTTGCCATCCAAATGAATGATGCGATCATCATTGATAAAGAATCTCTTCAAATCATGCTCTGGTTCGTGTTCATAACAATCAGGCGCAGGTACTGGACAGATATTACGAATGGATCGAACAAAATCATTCTCGTTGATCCTCGACTGATAATGAGGATGGGAAATCTCACCTTTTCTGAAACAAACATGATTCAGCAATCTTGCGTGAGTTTCCCTGAAGCATAGTTGATAAAGGCCAATACCTGGATCTCCTGTAAGCTCTCCAAGCAACTTCAAAGGTGAAGTATGCAGCTCATAGGTATTGTCAACTTTTGTTGTATCCTTTTCAACAACTACTTCAGATGGAAAAGATTCCTGGATTTCAGCCTCCAATTTCTTCTCTCCATCATCCTCTCTGACCTCTTTTATTTTCTCCACCGCCTCTTTCTTCTCTTCCATGGTTGCATCATCCTGAACTTCTTCATGAAAATGAGGATCAGGTATTTTATTCAGGCGGCTTTTCTTAGATTTCGGCAGACGTAGAGTATCATCAAGGTTAGCATCCATCTCACCTGATGGTAAGTGCGATGCAGCCGAGTCTTCACCTATCTCTCTTGATAGAAAGTATGGTGTTGACTCCTCCTTGGCTTCCTCCTGGTCCACTTCCATCTTTGGTTCCTCTGAAGGAAAAACACCTGCATTCTCATCAAATATTTCTTCTTCCTTTTCAGGTTCAACTGCAGGATCTTCTTCAGGAACTTCCTCTTCCATATCCTCATCTTTTAGAAGTGTCCTACTTCCAGTATAGATTTCACCAGCGATAGTGGAGACTCTTGTATAAGGAGGAACTTCTTCACCTGCCTCAAAGGCTTGTTCTGCAACATCCTTGGTGAGCAAGTCCTCTACAAGATTTTCTCCCTCGGTTCTTGGAAGAGGTCCTGAGGTCTCATAAAAATCTGTCCTCTCTGAACTGAAAGCTTCTGTCGCCTTCTCATTGTCCTTTTGATCCCTGAACAGGTGAGTAATCTTCACAGCTTCTCCTTGTAGCACCTGATCACCTCCTCTATACTTGTCGACAATGGAGCGCCATACTGGAACATCATCATCATCAAAATCAAGCTCCATATCATCTGCCAACAGGTATGAGATGTTTTGAGCTGCCTGTTCTTCTTCTTCATCACGTTCTTTGGCAAGCTCCCCATCCTTCTGGATCTTGAAGATACCCTTCAGGATGTCTTGTAGTACCTTTAAGTTCAGCTTCGATGATGGCTCATACGTCCCTGAACTTACAGGCTCAACTACAACACGAGAGCAGGAAATCGCCTCCAAAAACTTGGAATTGTATTGGCGTTCAAACTCTTCCTTCTTGATCATCTCATACAAGGGATCAGAAACTGCAACACGCGCCTGAACATACTCACGAAGTTGATAGCATGCATGTTGCACAAATCTACTGTTGGAGTTGTGAAGAAAACTCTCTAAATGATTCCTGTCACGGTCAATCAAATACCACACAATTCTTGCAGAAAAACGGAATTTCTTGAAGTTCATAGCAAAATGTGTATGATACTTCTCTGGATTCCTTTCTGCTTGTAAGGCGGCCTCTGAAGTCTTGTAGGCTGGGAGATTTGTGTCTGGATCCAAGATCATAAACTCTTCCCACAAGATCGAGTGGTCAAGAACCCACTTGGGAAGCACCTTGATGAAAAAGTCACAAACAAGTTCTGACACAAGGTGCATGACACGACCAATCTCTTCCTCCTGCTTGAAGCGATAGTGCAATTTGGCAAATAGAGGATTG